ACGAAAACAAAATGCGGCTTTTAACAAAAGGGAAAATCGTGCATCCTGTGTGCGAAGGAAATTCAGTTGATATTATTGCGCTTATACTGATACTACTGCTGTTATCTTTAGCATAACCATTAACGCTACCATCCGTACCAGTCACTGGTGTCATTAGTACTACTAGTTGGGCAACAATTATTCCTATTAGTGTTTCTACCGCGTGTATTGTTACTGCCTCTACCAATACTACTACTTTACAACTACTGTTATTACTCTATAAATACCGCTGACACTACATGTGATAACGTCTGAACAGATTTACTATGGTAGCTCTCTAGTAGTATGTGTGTTTTAGATGTTCTGGTCAAGTACCACGTTTTCTCATTTGGACTCGAACGATCACTACTCCTGTTACTGCTGCTATTAATACTGCATTTTTAATATTAATATTAACGATAAGTCATTTTACTACGAGTTTTGGAATTAATATGGCATTTCATTGTTATTAATAGTTCCACTTTAGATTTACTGCTGATATTATGATTGCAGCTACATTGTCGTTTTCATTATTATTAGATTTTCCCATAATTCTATTACTGTTAATGCCATCAGTATTAATGATCTTATTATTAGATTTACCATCATCATATATTGCTGCTTTCTCTACTTTATAATAAATATCCTCATGTTTTTAATAAATGTTATATATATATAAGCACACACATCTGTGTGTGTGTGTGTGTGTGTGTGTGTTGTGCTAATTGTATTCACAACACGAAAACAAAATGCGGCTTTTAACAAAAGGGAAAATCGTGCATCCTGTGTGCGAAGGAAATTCAGTTGATATTATTGCGCTTATACTGATACTACTGCTGTTATCTTTAGCATAACCATTAACGCTACCATCCGTACCAGTCACTGGTGTCATTAGTACTACTAGTTGGGCAACAATTATTCCTATTAGTGTTTCTACCGCGTGTATTGTTACTGCCTCTACCAATACTACTACTTTACAACTACTGTTATTACTCTATAAATACCGCTGATACTACATGTGATAACGTCTGAACAGATTTACTATGGTAGCTCTCTAGTAGTATGTCTGTTTTAGATGTTCTGGCTAAGTACTACGTTTTCTCATTTGGACTCGAACGATCACTACTCCTGTTACTGCTGCTATTAATACTGCAGTTTTAATATTAATATTAACGATAAGTCATTTTACTACGAGTTTTGGAATTAATATGGCATTTCATTGTTATTAATAGTTCCACTTTAGATTTACTGCTGATATTATGATTGCAGCTACATTGTCGTTTTCATTATTATTAGATTTTCCCATAATTCTATTACTGTTAATGCCATCAGTATTAATGATCTTATTATTAGATTTTCCCATAATTCTATTACTGTTAATGCCATCAGTATTAATGATCTTATTATTAGATTTTCCCATAATTCTATTACTGTTAATGCCATCAGTATTAATGATCTTATTATTAGATTTTCCCATAATTCTATTACTGTTAATGCCATCAGTATTAATGATCTTATTATTAGATTTTCCCATAATTCTATTACTGTTAATGCCATCAGTATTAATGATCTTATTATTAGATTTACCATCATCATATATTGCTGCTTTCTCTACTTTATAATAAATATCCTCATGTTTTTAATAAATGTTATATACATATATATATATATATATATATATATATATATATATATATATATATATATATATATATATATATATATATATATATATGTACACACATCTGTGTGTGTGTGTGTATATGTGTGTGTATGTGCATGTGTGTGTGTGTGTGTGTGTGTGTGCACGCACACGCGTGTATGTATGTATATATGTATGTATATATGTATATGCATATGTATGTATATATGTATATGCCTATGCATGTATATATGTATATGCATAAGCATGTATATATGTATATGCATAAGCATGTATATATGTATATGCATAAGCATGTATATATGTATATGCATGTGAATGTATGCGTCTGCATGCGTGCATATGTGTCTGCTCAACATGCACGCAAAACGCACATAGATCCGCCTACACACACGCCCACAGCGAGAAGGGTCGCGAAGGCTCAGCTGGCGTGGTTTGGCAAGGAAATTCGAGATAAACAAGTGTGGTCGAACAGACACTTGGCACAACATCTCTACAACATCAGCTGAGAAATGGGCCTCGATAGGGGGAAGGGGGAAGGGGGGGGGTGAGAGAATGAAAGAAAAGGAGAAGAAAAGGTAATGAAATAGGGGAAGGGGGGGAGAGGTAGGGAAGAAGGAAAAGTGGTGGATAAGAGGAAGGGAAAGGGAGGGAGAAAAAAATGAAAGGGTAAGGGAGAAAGGAGGATAGATGAGCGAGGCAGAGGACGCAAAGAGGGACTGAAGGATTTATTTTTTATTTCATCTAAAAACCGACAATTAAGTATCGGCTAGTGATAAAGTTTATCATTGTTCTTATAATGCTAAGATAACAACCGTTATTACTATTATTGTTGTTGTCATTATCATCATTATCATTATCATTATTATCTTTATTATTACTACTACTATTGTTATTATTATTATTGATAGGATTATTATTAGTGTCATTGTTATTATCTTCATTGTTATTCATCATCCTTAATTTTGTTACTATCATTATTATTATCATCATCATTATCATTAATAGTAGTATCACCATCAATAGTAGTTCGTTAGTAGTATCAAAATGTCAATATTAAGGTTATTGTAATTATCTTTTTGTTATCATTATCATTATTAATGTTGTTTATACTATAACTGTCATCATTATTGTTACTGTTGTTTTTATCATTAATGATATCATTATTATTATCATCATTATTATAGTATTACTATTATTATAATTGTTATCATCATTATAATTTTTATCTGTATTATTATCATTATTTTGATTATGATTATTATTATTTTGATTATAATTATCATTATCACAATAATGATAATAATTATTATTATTACTGTTATCACCACTAATAGCGAAGGTATTACCCGTAATGCTACTTTTTACGACTGGTATTTATTTCGTTACTGTTACTGTAAATGTCACTTTAACAGTATACATTATTATTTGGCTCAAGATACTTACCATTACCATCTCCCTGATTATCATTATGACTGTGTCTCTCAGCATGTGTTGATAATGTTCCCGCCATTAGTTTTGCAAGTGTTATGATCGTATCGACATCCTTACCAATGTTATTATCATTAGCAGTAACGGTATCGATATCTTTTCTGAAATTGTTACTTTATTGCTAATACTGATATTGATATTTTATTGTCACTAAAATTGTCGCTACGAATTTCAATCATCACAGCCATCACCATCTTACTATTACTGGCATTATCAAAATTATGATAATTTTCGTTGTTGTCATCACCATAACTATCGAATCATGTACAGAAATAGAAATGAGTCGTTTTGTTTATATATTTATTCAGAACTAACAGTTACAGAGTTATGAACATTTGAGAATTAACGATAACACGTGAGCGTTTATGGCAGGAGCTAATAAGAACCATATACACTAATAAATGTTTAATCAAAAACTAATTACATCCTGTTCCTAGCCTAAAGAAGGGATGGGTGACATGTAACCTTCTTAGCCTTGGGATTGTCACGAAGGGTAGGTCTATCATTAACATGCCATTGGAAGGAGGAAATGTATTTTATTTAAGGTTATTTGCCGTGACACTGGCTAAGGTCATTAATGGTGGAAGAAACAGGACAAGAAGTGAATGTAGATATCTTGAACTCTAAAAGCGGTTACTACAGCATCACACATCTTATATTGCGGAAATTGCTGGTTTTAGAATATCTGTGAGAGATGGATATATGTTTATCCACATGTAAATTTAGCATTTTCATTTCCAAACTAAAGGTAAAGTGTTTGCCATAATATCCAAAGATTTTGGTATACAAGGTCTGTTTTCGTTGTTACATACACAAATAGAAATTCGTTCTTCATACAGTTTACCTTATTTTGCCTTCCCAATAATTCTCAGCACGAATGAAAAATGTTATTTCAGTAGCAAACATCATCTCGATTCTTGTAAATTCTAGGTGATGTAACCCTGATTTATAAAAAAGGCACTCCCTCCGAGCTGACTAACTGTGCGCTGTAGCCCACACCTTATCCTAATGAAAGCTATTTATCAAACCTCCCGAGGCTTAAATTTCTTCTAATTTGTTTACCGATCTTTAAAACAGCAGCTACATAGATAAAAGAACCAATAACCCCTACACCCGATGCGAAAACGTAAGGACAGAGGCCCCTTAGCGATAAGTGAATCCCACTGGGCACGAAAAAATCTGATTTAGCATATAAGAGTTGGCATCCGTGGGTATGCTGTGGTGCCTTATAAGGTAAGGATGGAGAGAGGAAAAGCTCCCCCCTCGACCCACCGCTATGTACGGCACACTGCTCTCCCTATGAACGGCTAGACAGCTTTTTTAGGTCTTTACGGACTACGTTCGTTACCCCCATCTTGCAAAAGGAGGCAAAGAAGCGTGAGAAGGACTTACTTTAAATAACTTATGGATTCAGTGGTCTCCTCACGCACAGGGATGAACATGGCCAACTTACGCTCTCTTATTCTTGGTGTGGTCTCATAGTAGAGGTGACGCTTGGCACTGGCACTGGTGTCCTGTCAGAGGGTGTCAAGCTTTTGGTGGAATTTGGGACCCGCCCTCGTTTAAGCCTTAAGTAGGCCGACCATCTAATCTTTGCTCAGTCGAGCTACAACTTTGTGCTTCATACATACATATATATATATATATATATATATATATATATATATATATATATATATATATATATATATATATGTATGTATGTATATATATACATTTGATACTGATATTTTATTACCTTTATTTATAAGACTGCTATAATACTCCTAGTTTAATTATATACTGATTTTTCATGACAAATTTGAAAGGGAAAACTGAAAGACTGAAGTACAAAATAGATAACTTTATTTACTTACACCAACAAAAAGTGATATAAGCGAATCTTTGGTGTCATAAAATAAATCCTTGTCTATACAAAATAACGCCTGACCCAAACCATCAGACACTCACATGAAATAGAAATGAAACAGATAATGTTCTGCAATAATAATGAATGATGATTTATATACATTAAGATAATTTCCTAAGTAATAACACAATGACTCGAGTCAACTCTTGGTACAAGAGCAATATTCAAATGCATTCAAATTCAGACACAGAAACTGAAGCATATTATAATACACGATGTGAATAGAGGTCCGCTTTTATAGTATTACCATTTAAGAACAAAAGTAAATTGGAGGGGCGTGTGCCCTTTATAGATATGACGTCACAGGTAAGCGACCACCAGCTGCAGGTAGGTGCCAGCCAACCTTCCGGGCGATGACGTCACCACGCAGGCATCACCCACTCCACCTCTCACTCGCACTCGTACTCGCCGCTACCTCGTTTCATTCGTAGTTAACTCCATTTCGCATCTTTCTGTGTCGTTTTCAGTTCGCTCACACTGATTGTTATGATCGCGCACTCGTACAGAGAAAATAAATAATAATGTCGTCTTCCTAACGTCACAATACACATTATCACACCGGTGATCCCGTAGCAACGCAACACTCGTACTCACTCTTCAGGTGGAAGAGTGTGTTATCATTGTCTTGAGCTCTCACTCCTTGGTCACCACACCGTCACACGCAGCATGTCGTGAGTCCTCCAGCCGCCCACCGAACACGACCTCGTTCCCTCCTTCTAGGGTCGTCGGCCCTCCCTGCCCGAGAGCAGCTCGACGCCACAGTCAGTTTAACAGCTGCCACATATGGACTCGGTTCTGGATACCGGAACCCCCCTTTTATGGCCAAATTTTCGGAACAACCTCCGACTGCGAGAACTATCTCGAACTGCTGTCTACAATGGCAGGACTTCCGACAGAATCTCTTTGGCACTTTCAGTGAGATTCGAAGGGAACTGGATGTCGAAGTGGACGATGATGTCACCCTTCCTCGTCGGGTCCTTCGGGTAGGGAAGACCGTATCCTTGGAGACGCTTGGTTGTCTGGGGCTTCACTACTTCGTTGCTAAAGTTGAAGGTGACCTGCTGGCCAGTCAGGGTAGGAACGGAGACCCGCGTGCCACAGAGGGCATCGCGTAGAGGTAACTTGGCGGTGTACACGAGGTTTGCTCCGTCGCGCTTGAACAGAGGATGAGGTTTGTCCCTAATGACGAAGATGATGTCTGCGGGGATCTTTCCTGGGGATTGGTCACCCTCTTTCTCGAAGGTGATTTTGGTGCCCTCCTTCCACCCTGGCTTGACCTCGATGGTCAGGATCTTTTCCTCGCGCCGCGTCGACCGCCCGTCCGCCGTCAGCACGTTCCTCGTGATCTTCATCTTCTTGGTGACGCCCTTGACGACCTCCTCTAGCGACACGTACAGGTCCCTGGTGACCGCTGGGTCCTGGTGACGACCCTTGCTCTCGTAGAACCTCGGGGAGTCGTGGGGGTTGAAGCTGAAGGCCCTCCGAGTGCCTCCGCCCATGCGAGGCCCCCCGCCACCCAGCATGTTGATGAAGGGGTCGTCCTCGGCGTCCATGTCCTCGAACACGTCGTGCGTGCCGTGGCCGTCCACGTCCATGTTGAAGAAATGGCTGAAGGGGTTGTTGGTGCCGAAGCACTGTTGGAAGGTAGCTCTGGGGTCACCTGAGAACGTGTAGGTGAAGTGAGTGCCATCGGTGCTTCCACTGCCTGGCACTCCCCCCTTCAGGCCTTCCTCTCCATACTGGTCGTAGATATCTCGCTTCTTCTTGTCACTCAGAACCTCGTAGGCTTCGGCAACTAATTTAAATTTTTCCTCGGCATCAGCTGATTTGTTCTTGTCTGGATGATACTTGAGGGCCATTTTTCTGTAGGCCTTCTTGATATCATCCTCAGAGGCACCCTTGGACAGGCCGAGGATCTTGTAGTAATCTTTACCCATCTTGATTTGTGTTTCCGTTCAAGTATGCACTATAAATAATAGATATTGTAGGTTGCTTGAGTATAAGCACTAACAGCTTCCCTCTTACTCTTCTTGTT